AAGTTCTCTCTACAAGGCATTTTTTTCTGGTCCCCCTGAATTTCGTTTTAAGAGGGTTCACCCTGTACCGAATACTTTTGTGAATGCATTCAACAAAGAAACGCTAGAAAAGTCAGATGAACTGCGTGTAAATGTCACACGTTATTAGGCACGTTTTGTTTTGGCTGATTTTGAAATTCTCACGTGCAATTTGCCTTTCAATCCTTTTGATTGCTTGAAATTCTAGAGCATTTCGCATCATCAGAACGCTTTGTTCGGAGAAGAAGTCCAAATTTAAAAATCTTATTCAGGGTTTTAACATATCAAAATGGGACACAAAATTACTTCTAGACGAAAGCTGAGCCAATGATGATGCTTTAGTGCATGGTTAACATTAATGCCAGAAATATTTGTTATATATTAAGCCATCAATTGATCCCGTCTCTCCACCACTGGTGCAATAGATCATGGTGCAATATATTAAGCTCGAAAGTGCAGTTTCCGGGGCACTTTCCTTGAATAATTGCCTGGCTGGAAATTATAATGCTGTCTCACGATGAGTTGAAACTCATCTGATCCTGTTTTGCTTCGTGTAACTCTGATGACCGATTCACATTTTCTCTTGATATTGTGTGTATCCCTTGAACCCTGGCAAGAATAAATAGTTATAGTTGAAGGCCTACTGTCTTTTGATGAAAAAAAAAATTATGCGTTGGTGTTTGAAAGTACGCTGCGCGAGTTCGAAAGTACTCAGTGAGGTGAACGGGTTTGCATGCTCATCTACCCGGTGGGAAAGAGTGGAATGTATTCAGTCGTGATAACGCCGGGAAAGGGGAAACGTGGGCCGCCATGCTGCAGACGCATTATGCTACGTAACTTGGGCGGCTGGGTTGGGGCACACTCTGCCCTCTTTTTCTCAGGAAACTCAACAGACAACACGAGTCAACCACAAGCTCGCGGCCGGCTCCTCACAACCACTTCAGCCGGCTCACATCGGTTTCTCTCTCTCTCTCATCCTTGCTGCGTTGTTCTGAGGGGCGCCACTAATAAAAAATATAATAAAAGTGGCGTCCCTGGATTGCTTCGCATTATTTGCAAAATTTCATAGTTACGTACAGATAATTCAGCTGCCATCTATGCTGTAAAAACAATTCCGAACTGGCCGGCGGGGATTTTTCATTCCTTTTATCGTGGAATTTCCCCAGAATTTTGTGACTTGAGTATCCCTGAAACAGTGTTTTGTACCGTAATGCAAAACTTTTTTTGTAGGAATTGAAAAAAAAAAACCTAGGTCTGCACCGAGGGACCTTGAGATTCATTGATAAACGATGAATCCTGGTTTTCAACACGATCGCTTAATATTCGAGAGGTATAATTCCAGACTATCCTTTTTCGCTCTAGAAAAAATCGACTGATAAAGGAAAATGAAGCAATGGAATCGACGCTGCTCTTAGACGATATCACATTTGGAGGTGTGTCTTCTAGTCGAAGATGCTGTGAAATTGATTATATAGTGTACAATTCTTCCAGTTCCAAGCTCACCGAAGCGTGTAAATAGCTTATGAAAGAATTGAAGGGCGTGACGAAATGATTAATGCGTATATGTTTTCTTTTCCTTTCCTCGCAGATTTTTTTTTCTCCAGAGATAGACCAAGTTTGCCAATCGGATAAAGTTGAAAAGCGAGATAAGGTTGACGAATTAGTTTATTGTGAATGTGTTGTGCGTGCTGATCCGAGTAGTGGTTGCATCTGCTGTTTCCTATGCGAGAACGGTCTGGTTTGTGATTCGTTGGCCTGGATGCGAGCGGGTCAGAAACAGCCGAATTTCACAGCTATGAACAAAATTGCTTCCCGGAAGAATTTAGAAGACAACGGATTCATTCAGAATGTCCACAGTCTCAATAATAACCGAAGTAACAAATACAAGGTGGACGAGTATCGCAGTTTCAAGCAGAAAAAGTCGTTCGGTGAGTGAATCTCCTCTTTTTTTTTCTCGAAATCATCTGAGGATCACGCGTTCATTTCCCTGTGTGTTTTGAACGAATCACGGAAGCTCTTGACACACTGATTTTGCGTTGGGAAAATTACTTTATCTATCGTGGATGAGATTTTCTTTCTCGTATCACCCACACCAAATGTGGGAGAACTCGACTAAACTAACCTGATCCATCCGGACCTGATCTTGCAAAGCTAGCCGGAAAAAACTTGAATGGGATGCCAGAAATTTGTTTTCTTATTTAAAATTAATACATTTTCCCCGGAATGAATCGAAGTTGATCAGCTTTGCTGTGTTTCGTCTGACGGTTCGCTTATTTCTAATCTGTTCTGTGTGCACAAAAGAAAAACCGCATTTATCCGAACTAATGACGGGTGCCATTGAGAAGATAATCGGATTTCTAGGATTATCGAATTGTGTTGAAATATCGTATAAAGCATGCAGTTATTACTGAAGAAAACCTGGACTTTTTCCGTCACTCCCGCTAATTTATTTGGGGCAATTATTCACTCAACAGAAGAAAAAAATTATGAAGACACCTTCTGAATTATTTAAATTTGGGGACGATTATTCGTTTGTCCAGTGAGTGAGAGTCATAAGAGTCGAGATCATTTTGAGTTTTTCTGTATTGTAATTTTTTGGTATGTTAAGTGAGTGGCTTGGGAGAAGAAACGATCGAATATATTGAGGAAATTTTGATTTTCTTGTAAAATGAAGTTCTGAGAGGCTGCAGCAAAGGTTTTATTTTGTAGTCAATGAGAGCGAGATCCGGTGTGGATTCATTCAAGCAGATGACTGTTTCTTGTTCCTGGAAAGATTTATTGCATCTGGAAGCAGGAACTGGATGTCACCAGCAGAAAGCGGTTTTTGCTGAGCTGACTTATTTTTCTCCTAGCGTTCTCTATAAACTTATCCCGTAGAGATGCGGGTATGATGGCTTTGTGCCCTTGTCCATGGGGGCCTGGACTAGACTGGCTTCCGTTATCTGAGTAGTATCTCTATGGAAGTGGCCTTGTCCGAAAACCCGGAGACAATTTGCAGAACATTGGGGGGAACCACGGATGTACCCCCAAGGGGTGGACGGGAATGGCGCCGGACAAAAGTCTCAAATCTCGACCGGGGGCTGTTCTTTCTTTTATCTTCAATTTTCTTTTCAAGCCCTGCAGGGAGCCAAGTTGGGGGTTGCAAGAGCAAACTTCTGCGAATCGCTTTGTCAGGCTCGTTTTCCGCATTAAAATTTGCTTGTAGCCGCGGGGGACAGATCCCAATCCTCGTTGGGGCTGATCTTGTCAGTCTTGCCATTTTCTCTTCCCTGGGGTTTCCCGCCGAGGGTTCATCCCGTCCTGCCTTTTCATGAAAAAAAGGGTTCGACGAAGTACAGTTCGCTTGTGTTTGACGAAAGATTTTTCGCATCTTTTTTTTTCCGGTTTTCTTAGCTCAGAGGAAGCTGGAAGTGGCGAACATCCGAGCGAAATTTCCACACAAAGTTCCGGTGAGTTAACTTGCTTTTGCTCCCCGATTCCAAAGTTTCGCGTTGACGGCACTAATTCGCCGTTGCTGCTTTCTCACCAGGTGATTGTTGAAAGATATCACAAGGAAATCTCCCTGCCTCTACTTGACAAAACCAAGTTTCTAGTCCCTCAAGAGCTGTCCATGTCTCAGTTTGTGCAAATTATAAGGTAAGTTGCCGTTTCGACTTCTTCTCGTAAGTGAAAAATAATTCAGGTATTATTTCTAATGCCCAAAATTTTCCATTTCCTCAGAAATTCCCTTTCCTACGTGTCCACCAACCCCCACTATGTGTTAATGTTGAAATTTATTTACTGCACGCTTTTAACTATTCGGCCATGAACTGAAAGTCAACTGCTCAACATCGCGCGTAATTAATTTTTCGTCGACGGTATTTGTACTTCGCGAATATTTCTTATGCAAAATTGGTGCCGTAACGCGGGGTTACCTGTGACGCAATGAAATTTCGACGGAAACCCGGTAGTTCCGCTGAGAAACACCAGAAATGTAAGCTGGGGGATGAGTCGCATCGATTCTTGAAGCATAATTTTATTGCTTTCACTTTCTCGAGTGCCAGCAGTACTTATGCCTTTTCCGGAAGGAATGACATCTATTTTGTGGCTTCCTGGATTTGGGTTGTGGAGTATTTAGTCGTTTTTGGGTCTCGAATTGCGCGGTACTGGCCGAACCCGGCCCTCGTTTTGACGAAAAGTCTGTGTGTGTGTCTCGGAAGGCTTGACTCTTCGGGGTTGGGAAAATAACTTCGCTTTCTGGGATAGCGAAAATGCGGAATTCTGCGATCCGTCATTTTCAGGCAAGGAAAGTGGGGCAGAGTTTCTTGTTGTACTCGGGTATGTTCAATTGTTGCGTTGTGTAATCTCCAGCTCAGTACAGTATTCGTCTAATCTGCACCCATTGAACTACTAGTGGGATGTCTGGTTTCAGTGTGAAATCAGGAAAAAGGTCCACGGACCTGTTCCATTTTTTTTTCACCATGCATTTTTGTCCGCACGTTTAATCGGACTCCATTGCGGGCTTTTTTTCAAAGAAAACAATTTGAAGAATGACATGACATTGTACTACTGTTCCAACATTCCCCAGAATTTAAAATTATAGTAGCCCTGAGTTGAAATGACCTTTTGCAATGTGTTTCAGTGAAGGACACGTTTTACTCTTTCAATTAAGCAAAAAAAAATCGAGCCCTGTTCATCAGATGCTGTCTAACCCGAGCCCGAGTGGTTTCAGTGGATATTGCGATGTATTTTAAAATTTCAGACCTATTCGGCATTACTGCATTAGATATACTCGTGATTGCTGATCTATCTAGGACTAAAGTTGCAACATGCCCGTTCTGAAGATCTTGAAGAGTAATTTGATCAAATTTCCTGTAAATGAGTAGGAAAATGAAATCAGCACACCACGCTGTCGGAAGTTTTTCTGGATTTTCATGCCGCAGCATTGGGTGGAGGGTTGTTGAAAAAATTAAATTGCAAAATTGCAGTTTCACTTGATGTTGGCATCTGCAGATTCTAACATTACTTACTCTCCTGTACAGGAAATCGTATGTAGAGCAACTTCACTCGATGCTGAATATACAACCCCTAAAATTTTACCTTACGCAACCCAACAGAAAATGAGGGAGAAATAAGCACAGTACTGTACAAAAGACACGTTTCGGAAACCTGCGGCTTCATTTGCATTTTGATATTTAAAAATACCATCGATTGTTGCATCATGAAATTTTTCTTTGGCAAATGACTTGCGCAACTCAAGTCACTGATTTCGTTTTGCGGGTGGAGCATTTTTCCCTCAGAATTCAAAGAGAAAAGCTGGTATTTTATTGTTCTAAGCCTCACAATCACGACGGTATGAGTCGCATCGATTCTTGAAGCATAATTTTATTGCTTTCACTTTCTCGAGTGCCAGCAGTACTTATGCCTTTTCCGGAAGGAATGACATCTATTTTGTGGCTTCCTGGATTTGGGTTGTGGAGTACAGTATTTAGTCGTTTTTGGGTCTCGATTTGCGCGGCACTGTCCGAACCCGGCCCTCGTTTTGACGAAAAGTCTGTGTGTGTGTCTCGGAAGGCTTGACTCTTCGGGGTTGGGATGTAACTTCGTTTTCTGGGATTGCGAAAATGCGGAATTCTGTGATCCGTCATTTTCAGGCAAGGAAAGTGGGGCAGAGTTTCTTGTTGTACTCGGGTATGTTCAATTGTTGCGTTGTGTAATCTCCAGCTCAGTATTCGTTTAATCTGCACCTATTGAACTACTAGTGGGATGTCTGGTTTCAGTGTGAAATCAGGAAAAAAATCCACGGTCCTGTTCCATTTTTTTCACCAAAAATTTTGTCATCGCACGTTTAATCTGACTCCATTGGGGGCTTTTTTATAAGAAAACAATTTGAAGAATGACATGACATTGTACTACTGTTCCAACATTCCCCAGAATTTAAAAGTACAGTAGCCCTGAGTTGAACTGACCTTTTGCAATGTGTTTCAGTGGAGGACATGTTTTACTCTTTCAATTAAGGAAAAAATCAAGCCCTGTTCATCAGATGCTGTCTAACCCGAGCCCGAGTGGTTTCAGTGGATATTGCGATGTATTTTAAAATTTCAGACCTATTCAACATTACTGCATTAGATATACTCGTGATTGCTGATCTATCTAGGACTAAAGTTGCAACATGCCCGTTCTGAAGATCTTGAAGAGTAATTTGATCAAATTTCCTGTAAATGAGTAGGAAAATGAAATCAGCACACCACGTTGTCGGAAGTTTTTCTGGATTTTCATGCCGCAGCATTGGGTGGATGGTTGTTGAAAAAATTAAATTTCAAAATTTCAGTTTCCTTTGATGTTGGCATCTGCAGATTCTAACATTACTTACTCTCCTGTGCCTGTGCAGGAAATCGTATGTAGAGCAACTTCACTCGATGCTGAATATACAACCCCTAAAATTTTACCTTACGCAACCCAACAGAAAATGAGGGAGAAATAAGCACAATACTGTACAAAAGACACGTTTCGGAAACCTGCGGCTTCATTTGCATTTTGATATTTAAAAATACCATCGATTGTTGCATCATGAACTTTTTCTTTGGCAAATGACTTGCGCAACTCAAGTCACTGATTTCGTTTTGCGGGTGGAGCATTTTTCCCTCAGAATTCAAAGAGAAAAGCTGGTATTTTATTGTTCTAAGCCTCACAATCACGACGGAACTGAGACAGCTACGCACTTAAAAATAACACTGGTGTACTTTTGACAAATTTGAATAAAAAGCCTCGCCGCTGCGCATGCGAAATTCTTTTCCCGAGAAGCTTTTAGTGTTCTGTTTGTTGTAGGAAGGGTGGAGGAGAAAAGGGAGGAAAAGTGGCACAAAATCTCGGGCGAGGTGCGCAAAAATTCTCGGCATGTGTCTGGAGTGAGCTATGAATTATGGATGACTGCCGAAATCGGTGGGTTCATTCAGGAATGTATAGGGCGAACACGACTTGGGGGCCTTTGCATCGTTCGTCTTCTCCAGCTCAGGCCGGAGATTCCGTGTTTGACATCGGGCATTTCCCCACTTGGCAAACCGCTGTGAAATTCGTGTTTGGGTCTCGAGTTTCGTTCATTCGCGAAATGAGTACTGTATATAACTTTTCCTGACAGGAATTTCGTTTTCCGAACTGTTGAGCCCCTCTTGCGATAATAGATGGCATTCGTATCGCGAGGAATTCGACCAAATAAATTTGCTTTGTTTGCCAGATTTTTATAATGTAGTAAAATTTCTGGGGAAAAAACGCATCAGTTAGTAGCATTATTTGAAGACGATTGCACCGCGAAAAGCAATGAATCGTGACGATTGAAAAAAAAGTAGCTAATTTCTTATTAATCGTATTTTATGAGACAGCACTAATTTAAGTGATTAATTCTGATGTAAATCTCTCAGCTTTGAAAATTTTGTACGTCTTCTTCGAAAATCCGCGCAATTCGAAATGCAGGGGAGATACGAATAACTGTAACAATTGAAGGCAACGAGTTTTCAACTGTAATTTTTGTTGTTGCAATAAGTGCTCTGAAACTGGTTGCGATTTTCCGAGAGATTGATTTCGAAAACCGAACCAGTATTTAAATTTCTGTTCCCCGAAATCCACATACAGTATTTTAGCTCAACTTTTTCCCTCAGGGGGAATTCGTGGACTGAATTTCTTCAGGTATGGCTTCTCAATATTGAACGTGACTGAAATTGGAGCATCGGAATAATTGAGGGACATCGACACGCGTTTGATGACGTAAATGTTGAAGTAATTCCTACCGGAAAATTAGGAGATATTATCCACCATCATGTTCTGCGATCATGATTGATGCCTGTCACACCTTGGAGAAATTCCCCTACGAACAGGCCTCATTATTCCACTTGACTGATTTTGAAGGTTATTAAGACTGGCAACCCGTTGACCCTGTGAAAGAACTATTTCGTTCTCTGGAGAGGGGTGGTGTTATTTCTTTGGGGAACCCCGAAAACCCGTCGGATTTTTGGCGATACGCGGAAAAGTCCCCGGAGAAAAACTGTTTACTCTCGCGGAAAGAAATTTGAGCTCCGCGAAGCGTCACAAGTCACGTCGACCCCGGGTGGTTCATCGCGTATCTGCCGAGGACAGTAGGTCGTTTCTGTCTTTTTTACTTTTTGCATAGTATTTCTATCTACCACCCCCCCCCCCCCCGTCAGTGATTCGTTTTTCCGCACACTGCATGTCACGGTTCACGTGACACGTCGAAAGGTAACCGACGCTGGCGTTCGTCCCGAACGCGCACGTTTTTTTAGCTGACTTTGTTCCTGATCGCGGTTGTTCCGCCGACACCATTATTCTTCCGCTCGTGGCATTTTTTTATGCAATGCCTGTGTACGGGACGAGCCTTACGGCAAAGTAGAACATGCAGCATCGGATTCTTTGCTCATCCGCGATGAAGCTACCGAATTTTCTGGAATATATGAGAAGAACCGAAGATTCTAAAGACGAGTCTCGGGACTTGGAACTGAAAAATTGAACACTTTGTTACAGTCGAACCTCTTTAGGTAGAAATTCTAGGGACCATGAAAAAATGCAAGTGGGGAAGTTTCGAGTTACGGAAACGTGCATTTTTCTTGAAAATAATTAACAATTGAAGGAAATTTTAAACGTGATATTTTGGGCCGTATATTTTTTCTTGAATTATATGAGAGGATTCTGAAATTGAAGGCAAGGTTCTCTTGCCCAATTAGTCTTTCAGTTGCTTTCAAAACAAATCGATGTACATGTTTTCCATTACCTGTGTCAATAAAATACTGTAGTAGCGTCCAGAAAATTCGAGTTAAGAACGTTTTTAATGCACTATTTTTTAAGGGAACTGCAACAGGGACTTGGAAAAATTTGACCTAGTGAGGTATTAGATTTGGGCCGGTTCGAGTTATCAAGGGTCAACGTAATTCCACTGTTACCAAAAGAAGATGAGAAAAAGCTTTATGTGACGAAAGGAAAATTTCAAGGCAACTTTTCTTGCAAAAAAATCTTGACTAACAGGAAAAATATGTGCCTGATCAAATTCGCACGATTTTGCAGCGCTCTGAATTTTTTTGTGATCATGCTGTAAGCTTTTTTCAGTGATGGAATTATTTTCAATTAGTGATTGTTGCTGTCCATCACTTATCTTCGTTCAATAAAAAAGTATGCATTGAACGAAATTTTCAAAAATGACCAAGATTCCAAGATTCTCTCATAGATGGGTCGACTGAGATTTACAGTATTTTCAATATTTCAGCAATATCTCATAGTAGAATGTATTTACTTTACAGTGGGGTTTCAGCTAAAAATGTATAAAATAACAAACATTCCTGCTAATTAACTAAATAGTTTTCTAGGGTCCTGCACTCGCTTACAAACTGGAATATAGCTTGTNGAACATTTCGGCACAGAAACTTGAAATTTTCCTGAAGAAACGCTCGGAAGTTATATAATTCATATAATGAATATTCCAGCTAACTAAACATCATACTTGAACACAATGTGTTTGTTAGCCAAGACCCAGCTGCGTATGCTTCAAGAGAGGTTCCCTGGTGTTTATTCGAAAAGTAAATTTTTTTTTTCACTGCGGAGAACAGTGTTTTAGTTCGTAAATGTTGGGACTCATCCTTCGCGAACTCTGTCGCTATTTTCTGCGTCGTAATCTTGTTTCTCAAGTTTCGGTCATTTCCTAACTGCAGCACGTACCGTGACGTAGCTTGCATCACGACAGGAAGAAAAAGCGCTGACGTCGGGGCTGACGTCTTGGCGTCGCAAGTTGAACCCGCGGCTGGCTACACAGAGCCTCTGTCGATATTCATCGCCAGCGAGGTCTTTTCTGATAATCAGACGTCGTTAAGACGCCGCTCTGGCGAACAGTCGTCCCGATATTCGAAAATGCGGATCGGAAATGAGGGCTACTGCAGGTCCCTTAAAAAAAAGTAGAATAAAAATGGAAATATCTAGGGCGCTCTCGCGTCTTCTTCACTTTTAAATTATTCCCGAATTTGCGATTTTATTATCCACGATGCTTGCATAATTGTTCTACTTATTTCCTGTTGTCGGAGACACAGTACTGTACGTGAGCATATGGATGACAGACTTCGATGAGCTTCGCGAAACTACTCGGTCTGATCGGCTATTATTTTGGAAAGATTGTTTGTCCTTGATTTCCTTTAGCCACTGTAATTATCCGTGCTTGAATTTTGAAGTTATCTGATAGTATAATCTGTATTTATTTGCAGTCGAGAGGGTCATGGTGGAGTGGTACTCTGTACTCGTCGCGAAACTGCCGAGTCTTATCAGCTTAGGTTTGTATATTTATGAGAATTTCTTGCCTCTGCATTCTTGTTTTCTGTATTTATCCAACTTCAAATTTCTAAATAGACTCAACTGTGTGGTCTTTGAATTTCCAGTCGATTGGGTCGTAGATAACTTGGTGACTGATTCCAGGGTATTTTGACGTCGCGTGAGCAGGAACTAGATTTTGGGGCCGAGATCCCACTTGCCCATTTAAGTAAAATAATGATTTTTTAAATTATCAAAGTATGCCTTGCGGTTTTCTTTTGTCATTTGATAGTCCTCAGAAAAAACCGAGGATATCGCTTTAGTTTTGAGCGCATTAACTTAAAAACGATAAAATTTCACCAAATTCATTCACGTTACGTGAATTATGGAGATATTTCGCCGTTTTCTATCGAACCCCACATCAACCGAACGCTTACTACGACTCTCCTTTATTCGAGTCGGGAAGTACGGAACACATAACGAATATGTGCTAATTAGAACGTTCGTGCTAATTATCGAGTGTTGGGGAATGTTTTGTGCGGGCGCTGAAGCCGCAAGGGCGCCGCGTAAGTCGGCCGAATTGCGTTCGCCGCTCTGTGAGCGACAAATACGGCGTTGTTTCGTGGCGCCGGGATCAGCCGATAAGGGAAAAGCCACCCGAAACTGAAGCGGTCAATGACCGCCAAAGACTAAAAATAAAGCAAGGCGCAAAGGTTAAACGTACTCAAGGCGGCTGAGCGCCTCCTTACGCTTACTTCGCTAAAAACCATCTCTCCTTAAGACTTAAAAGCAAGTAACTACGTATAAAGCAAAAATATTTTCGGTTTATTCCCCCATTCGATTAAAAACCCCGAGGGAAATCTTGATTCCGAGTTGCTCAAGAGTTTTATGAGTGACCGTTCGTGATTTCGTAGTAATTTTTGGCAAAAGCTTTGAATTTATCAGACAGAATTTATTAATTTGTAGTGAAAATAAATAAACTGGGGTTTTTCTCACCCGAATGATCAATAAACAATCGAAAAACGTAAACATCGACCATAAACGAGGCCGCTGTACGAAAACAAACTGCAATTTCCATCGCACCGCGTGTCGTCAAAATCGTGTCTGATGGTGTTGGAAACCGGCTTGGATTTTTTTTTGTCGTTTTGTTCCGTAATATATTTTTTGGAATACAGTAATTAATTAGTTTGCTTGAATGAGATCCAAAAGAAAAAAACTCGACAAATTTTGTTCAATGATTAAGAAGCAAGCGAAACATGTAAACATCAGCTTCATGCCGCCTCTGGGCGAAAATAAACGCCAAATTTTGTATTTAACCCCGTACCATTTAAATTGTGTTCAGGCGAACTCTCTGCAAAGATTTTCTCTGTATAACGAATTCGTGTGTCCGATGGGGTTTTTTTTTTCATGCTGTAGGGGTTTTATACGACGAAATTCCCTCTACAGTACTGTACATGGGTTTAATTTTCGTGGCCCATGGAATTTTATTGTTGAGTGAGTCCATCTGTATTCAAGAGCGTGGAATTTTTTTTGTCGATTTTCAATGCCGCTCATCTTTTCTTGAATTCGAATTTTGCCTGCGAATGCGTCGTTGGAATACGTAGTGGAGGAAAA